ACCATACTACGATTATACATTATAGTGAACTTTCACCTGGACCGCAACCCAGAAGTGATTTAGGTGAGTTATGCTATCATATAGATCTTAAGTCATCTGTAGTAATAAGTATAACACGATTTACTATACTCGCGCTTCCTGAGGGTCGAAGTGCAGCGGATCACCAAACTCGTCCTCAGTGACGAGTTCAAATCTAGTGTTAAAATTGTAATGCTTATAGAATTACATTTCACATTTCAATTTTCGAATACAGGACTCTCTGTGCCGCCAAGTTCTGTTTCTTTGTTTTGTTCAGATCACTGTGTTTCATCAATAGCTGTCTTTTCAAGTCATACAGCATTACCCCGACTTTGTGCCGCCAAATTCAGTGTTTTTATTTTATTCTGTTCACTGTGATTTCCTATAGCATTCTTTACTTTACAGGGGTAATCCTACATGCGTACAGTGTACAGTACTTGCAGAAAACGTTTTTTTTTTTTTAAAGTTGACTAACGACTGTTAAACTGAGGACACGTACACACAGAAATTTCCCGTTGATGTAGGTCTAGTACAATAAAAGTATAATTTGAAATTGCAAAGATCGCTTTCAAATTGACCATGTCTTAGCGGAAAGAATTTCACCCAGATGTACGATTGCTTTCAACTTGGCGGAGATTATTTTTTACCCGTAATATCAACTCAAAAAAATTGTTGGCCCTTCAAACAAATTACTTATTTTTTTTTAGCTTGGCAGCTCATGGTGGGGGAGGGGTGTCAAGACCCCTCAGATCCGCCAATGCTGGAGCAAAAATAGGGAGTCGCCGTCATCCACCTCAGCCCAATCATGGTTGGGCTGAGATGATAAAGTTTTACAGAAATGGAAATGACACTCTTTCAAACAGTGTTCCTCTACAAAATTATTGACTTCTCTACGACGAGAGCTATGCTCCCAGTTCCCTGGACACCCTCCCTCATGGGCGTCGTGAGGTCTAATCGAGGACATGTCTATTCTACGGTCCTATTCTTCACTCTGTGTATGATGAGGCGTTGTCCCACCCACCGTAAAATCTAATATGAAAATCTGTAAACACCTGTCAAAAACCTCCGAACTCAGGTATTAGCTCTGCTACATTTGACATAACAACAGCCCATGGGAAGTAAAAATGTTATCATAGACATGTTAAAATTGTAATGATTGTCCTGATGCCTGATTTCTGACCCATGGTAGACAGTTACACACTGATCAGGGGAGAAACTTCGAGTCGGACCTTATTGCAGAATTGTGCAAAATTCTAGGGGCAGATAAGACACGGACGACACCTTACAACCCGAAGTCTGATGGCATGGTTGAGCGGTTCAACCGTGCCCTTGTAAACATGTTGGCAACCATGCTAGATCCACATCGTAATGTGCAACCTTCGCATATGGATGCACACCACAAGAATCGACAGGGGAAACACCCAATGTGATGGTGCTAGGGAGAGAGTCAATTGTTAAATCAATAACATTTGTACTTAATTTTACATGATAATAAACAGTTAGTGAACCCAAAAACAGTGCTTATAGAAATACATTTCGATTGTCCTGCGAATAATGCGAGTTATACAGGACTCTCTGTGCCGCCAAGATCTGTCTCTGTGTTTCATCAATAGCCGTCTTTTCAAGTCATACAGTATTGATATTACACCGCCAAGTTCAGTGTCTCTTTGTCGCCAAGTCTGTCTTCTTATTCTGTTGACTGGTTTTCTTAATAGCAATCTTTACTGTTCAGTCGAGACTCGAAGCGTAGGTAGGTTTTTGTGCTGTGATCAATTACCAACCAAAATTCGACAAGAACTAACATCAACATATCCAAACAACTACTCAAAACACAGCTTTTTAATTTAAATTTACTAAATTATGGATTTTTATTCCTAAAGCACATTGAGACTTTTAGCAAAAATGATTTCAATAAAGTCAGCTTGTATCCTGTCTTTCCTTTTATATCAATTTGTAACAATTTCGGTGTCGGTGGATGTTCTTTTGGTCAACTGTTTGCCTACCAAACGTCCGTTGGCAAACTGGCAATCGGTGATATGTCCTAGTACCTCAAACTCCCAGCAGATCGGCCCGATTGAGAAAAACCTTGCAATGTGATTGAATTATCCAGGTGCCGAGAAGGGGGGGGGGAGGTTTCAGGTAGGAATTGATTGAACCCCTCGTCGTCCAACGCCACGACGGGGTCATCAGACCCAAAATATTAATTTGTTTATCCAAATAGCGTTACTAGCTGTGACTACTAATCCCTAATGCAGAAGCGGATCCAGACAGTTTCTGGCGGAGGCACAATAGGAAGTCGACACACATCAGCCCCACCATGGTTGGCGCTGAGGTGATCAAGTCTTAAGAATAGGCAGTGGCGTAACTACCGCAGGTTCAACAGGTTCATTGAACCTGGGCCCCGAGCTCCAGGGGCCCCGATCTATAAAAAAAATCTAATAAAGCAATGTTATATTGTGACATTGAACTACTGTATCTGTGGCCCTGTGGCTTTCATAGACCATTGGGGCCATTTTTGACTCTAACTGAAATCATGTCCGCCGTTATACATGCGAGGGATAAGCAGGGCCGTCGGAACAGCACTGGTTGGCCGGACAACTTTTTCTCAATTATAATATAACATTTTTAAATAAATATATACAGATACCTATAAAATCACAATATGAATTTATTATTAATGTTCGCATCACATCGTCTTTTTATGTTATATATTTAAACAAAAATCCACCATGCGCTTGTTTTTGTATTGCTTAACGGTACATTTTAATTTTTTACAATACTTAATTTTTTCGTGATTTAGATGATTTTTAAAAAAGTTTGAGGAGTAAATATAAAACAACAATTATATATTTACAAAATGTTGGGGGTTGGGCAAATAAGTAAAATTAAAGTTGTACCAGTAGTATCTCTATGGTATTCATTAATTTGTAGGCGTGTTTTTAAAATATAATGATAGCATATTGCATCATGTGTATCGTAACACATGTTTTATTTTGCATATGTTTAAATTTCATGATACCCTGCACGTTGTGTAAATATAGTAGGCAGTTATTTATTGTACAGTGTTAAAATGTATTAAATAATGCACAGCATATTGTACACCTTTACATTCATAACACAAGGTTTCATTTAAGTACGCCTACATCATTTTATACGTTATGTAGGCCTTTCACAATACCCGTCACTTCGTATTAAAAAAAGTGGTGGTTACACCACAGAAAAGAGA